TTCTGTTTCTCTAATATCTTGAGTGGCATGCATTAATCAACGAAATAGACAGGATTCGCAACTATGGCATCACCTATTTAGAGGTAAACATTTTTATCTGAGTTAACCTTCATTAACATCAGTCGAGGTTTAGCACATCATACGTTGCGGTTGCGCGGAAGGAATTCTCAGCACCTAGCATATTGTGAAAGTAAACTGGAAACATAAAGCGAATATTGAAATGCGTGCATCGATATCCCACATTTGCCTTTCGCGAATCCCACCATGTACACACTATGTAGGCAGTAAAGCGCCTTTTGTATATCGATTTGTGTATTACGAATAAACAATTGTTTAATTTATGGCAGCTCTGTTCCATAGTATGGCATTTATTTATTCTTGTTAGTATATTTAAAATTTAAAACGAAGCCTGCACTTTCCTCCCTACATCTATGTATAATATTACCAACATATTTTACCAACATTTAAAAACGCAGTCAACGATACGACATTGAAGTTGTTTGACAATAAAACAGGAAAGTCGTTTATAGCGTCGCCAGTGATATGACCTGTAGTCGTCTGACGATAACACATTTTTTCTAAATATAAATGAAATGTCGTAGTCGACTAAACATGATTGTGGTTGTGACAACCACATATCACTTCGTTGCTAAGGGTTTGATATAATGATATTCTAGTATTTTCCCATGTGTCACGTTCACGTTGATATGTAATTAATTATCAAAGAAGTTTGACATTTCTTAATAAAAAAGTGATAAGCTACTATTATTTGTTTTCGATTTTTTAATAGATGCAAAAATGAGTGACTGTCTAGGTACCCCGAATGACATATACTTAAAAATATTAGGATATACCAAATACATGAGAAAATGGGGGACACGCAACTGCGGTATTTCCTTTCATGTCACGTATACTGGTACTTAATATAGAGGAACTGCAATGCCGATTTAATCCCAAGCATCTTAATAAACATCGTGAAAATGTCTCGTATTCCGTGTTATCTAAGTGCATGCGTTGAGCGATAGTATGCTAATTAGATGGCTTCCGAGTTCGCAAACGCGTTCGCGCTGTCATGTGTCTAACTAGGTTTTTTTACGTAAACAATCAATATATATTACACGACGTGGGTTGAAGTTGTCATTGACAATTAGAAGCCGCGTGTATTTATATATAAATAAATGCGGCTTCCCAATAAAAAATGGGTCTATGAATTTTTTTATTCACTCCCTTTTAGTCTTTTCTATCATACATTCTACTCAATGTTATTGTATTATAGGAATCAACTGTCGGATATTCTTATAAAACGAGCAATTAATACATGTACATGCTGAGACATGTTATTCATTGAAAACATCATAAAGAAACAAAGCATATTTAGTTTTATTCAGCGCTATACATTAGATTTTTTTTTCGAGAAAGGCAATTTGTTTGAATAAGATGTCAAACAGACGCATTGAAAGCCATGTCGTGTTTATATTTTATTTGTCAAACATGGTAAAAATGGTTGGTTTGCAAGTGATAAATCCATTGATCTGGTTAGATTTATATTTGTCAAAACCGTGGTGAATTACTTATTTCAACTTGTTTCACAGACGAGTGCGACAAATATGTCCAGCACGTAACATATAATAGATTACTTATATTCAAAAAATCACTCAATTACTCACACCTGAGATGTCATTTTGAAGAGATTTAAAGAAAGCACTTCTGTTTCTTGGAACATTGAGCCTAATTTCATCTTTTGTATCATAATGAATTGGACCAAAGATGGAAATTAGTGCAAACCCCCGTAATAACAACCGAATAATTTACGCCCACATGACCGAACGAACTCGCGTGTTTTAAGTTATGTTACATTAAAGACATTTCAAATAATTGTTCAGAAATTGTGACATATAGCGCCAACTGTGCTTGTTGTACGAGATTCCATATTTTGTCGAATTCAAATGAATTCACATTGATAGATTATTTATGCTACACAATCTCATTATGACAAATATCAACCACAACATGACATAAGTATTGCCAATATTGGAATTCTTTGTTGGCATCTGACAGAAGGAACAACCAATGATTGTCATGATATATTCAATGCTAGTGAAAAAGAAAGATTACGTTGAATTAAAAATGACGAAATTTATTTGTTAAAACACAACAAATATTTACTAAACCTGGATTTGATCAGGGCTCACATTTTGGCAAATGAAATCAGATTTTGTTTGGATTGGTCTGACATAACAACTGAATAATTGCATAATTCTTCTAATCACAAATAATATAACATATTATTATACATATGTCACCGTAACGCCATGAGTTACGGGGTATTTTCATCCTACCATATTAGGAAATGTGAATTCAAAATATGGTATGATTACGTGCGTAAGCGTCTTCTAATAATAAAAACAAACATGGCTGCCACATAAAAATGTTCTTGTACGGTTTCTTAATATAATTGACGGTTGTCATGGAAACCATCACGACTATGAATCATGAATGAAAAAAATGTTTATGGAGGAAAAGCTCAGAATGTACGAACGATAAATTTATGAATGTTTCTAGACTGAAGACGTCACGTAGGATCATCAGCAATAGGTGATGTATAAGGTGGATGCAGACAGATATCGTTTGTTATCAGCAACATAATTTGAATTCATCTCGCACCAAGTTGTTTTCCATCTCACTCATCATTCACTGCTTGTCAGCCAACATAACTTCTCCAAGGAATACGTATCTTAGTAATAATGACTTCACATCTGTCAAAGGATTTCGCAAGAACTTGGATCAAAGTATTGTCCTAGTCAAGATAATCTACATGTATAATAGTTATTTCAACTTGCAACAAGTCATTACAAAATTGTATATATCACGATACGATTTTATAATTTGTAAAGACGGTCACATTTCTATTACGTTAATTCCGATGAAACAAATATTATGAAAAATACGTGCTCTTAAACGTAACTGGTAAGTTTGCAATGTATTCAGTATCGGCGATTCTAAATTGGGTCAACACTATACACCGAAATAAAATGATCATTGGATATTGTTTTGTTGTTGTTGAATGTCCAGGAACAGCAGGCCTAGTCATTGAGTCTTGTCGTAGTACATGTATAATGTGATTATAATTAAGTAATTATCAAATAGAATAGTTTTTTTTGTATACGGCCAGAATTGGCCGTCATCTGTTAAAAAACAGCGTACAAAGTTGTGAAAATTATTTGGAAAGTTGGACGAGTTTGTTGACCGACGTTGTTTTAATATCGAAACATGTAGTTGAAAGTTCCAAAAAAGGTTACTAACAAATTATTCAACCTACATTTTAGGCACTTTAAACAGTGCATTATTCCTCAATTGGAAATAAATTTCAACTAAACGCCTTGGCAGAGTCGACAGAAGACCTTTTAACTCGTATATTTAATGTATGCACCTGTCATGATATGCATGTACAGACAACTAATTAATATGTATATATGTAGTCGATGTTGCTCTTAAAAATATTAAAAAGTAATAAGAGGTTATAACGAGAATACCTCAAAGTATGCACGAAGACAGCACAGCTGGAGTATTGACCGACGCGCAGCGAAATGCCTAAATCCAAAATGTTTAGAACAGAATCAGCGAACTTCTTTGTGTGGAGTCCGGTCAAACTCTGGTGGCAGCCATGTTTGTTTTTATTATTAGAGGCACAGTCACTTGAGGGCTGAAAATCAATAAATACTAATTAAAAAAAATCATCCGCTATACGTTTATAAATAAACAAGTTGTGAAACATGGCACCTAGTAAATCGACAACCTGTCGGTTTCAAATTTTGATTTCTTACCTTAAAATGCAAAACAAAATTTTTAGAGGGGATCAGGTGTTACGTTAATAACCATTGTTCATAATCGCTGACTTTGTTTTATTCAACACTGCACAAATCCCGCGTTTTCTGATGATATCCGACGATTTCATGAACGCAAATGGCCAGCAGCCAGAATCAAGTGGGATTCGCACAGAGTTCTGGGTAAATCAAGGAAATACGCGCTGTTACGGCACGCCTGATTGGCTGAAAATGAGTATGCGACAGATGCATGATAATACGAGGTTATTACGAGGATACCTCAAAATATGAACGAAGACACTACAGCGGCAGTATCGAACGACGCGCAGCAGAGGTTGGTGCGATGGCGTACTGTTTGAGTGCGTACCTTGGGGTATCCTCGTAATAACCTTATTATTATACATCTTTTCCTTCATGGGAATGCTGAAATCCAAAATATTTAGAAAAGAATCAGTGAACTACTTTGTGTGGAGTCCGGTCAAACCCTGGTGGCAGCCATGTTTTCTTGTATTATTAGAGGACGCTTACGCGCGTAATCATTCCATATTAAGAATTCGCATTTCCTAATGCACTACAACTCATGAGATTTACTAAATTAAAATTATTGCAGTATGTTTCTATATTCTACATGTCTATTTATAGTGACCATATTATCACACATGACATGCAAATTATTATTATGGTGTCAGATTTGTAATAGTTATAGTAAGTTCACCGAACGTGACTTGTTTCAATGTATATACTGCCGCCAACGACGAGATTGTGTCTTCCCTTGGCCTTGCCTTATCAACACAGTATAGTTTATATTTGTCATTGTGGATTCAAATTCATATAGAAGGTCAATAGAATATTATAATTTTTGTTAATCTTATCACAAAATGTCCACCGATAAATTGCACTGATCGATTTACTACAGCAATGCACGAACCGAAAAATGGTATTTACAATTATTATACATGGCATCGAGTCGAGTCTTTAAAAACAACATCAAACGCATATCGCGCCTCAAGATCTTGAAATGACATTTTCATTCAGTTAATTGAACAATTCTAGTAAGCATGATTTATTAAACCTACCGGTGCTTCTCGCAGTATGTCACGTGACACCAGTTGTCTGCGTGTTGTTCAGTTGATAATCAGCTGCCCGGGCACTGACAACTAGTCCATCAGAGAAACCATGTCGATAAATACGTCTTTCTCTAACCCAGAAGCGCTCCTCGTGTTTAATACATCCGAGTATCCGCGCGAAATTGAGAGATGCTCGTTCATCTGCTTCGTCGCGTTATCCATATCGACGTTAGGTGTACTTGGTAACGTAGCATTTCTTTTTGTCGTGATTCGAGTGTGCTCAATGCAAACTGTCACTAACGCCTACTTAGTCAACTTGGCTTTTGCGGATTTGTTACATCTGGTAACACACACTTCACTCTGGCTGTGTGGTATACTTGCCGATCCGTGTCCCGTCGACCAGGACACCAACTTACCCGTATTTTGTGTTGTCTTGGTTTTCTCGCGTATGAGCCAATATGTGTCAATGTTCACAGTAACGGTGTTGAGTCTTGAGCGATATGTAGCTGTGTGCCGACCGATCGTCTATCGCAACGGAGCGATTCACCGACCTTGCTTTGTAGCTACCGTTATCGGCAGTACCTGGCTGCTGGCATTGCTTTTTTCTTCAGAACAGTTTTCAGCTTGTATTGTCACTACCGGTAGTTACTACCATAATCGCGCAATAATTGGGAGCCTTATTTTCATCGTGTCATTGATGTTTTTAATGACAATTGTCACCGCCGTGTATGTGAATATTATTTGCCGTGTCAGAGCTTCTACCCATTCTATGAAAAGTCGTGACAAACAGATAATACGAATTTGTATAGCGACAGCTTGCATTTACTTCATCTGTATGTTACCCAGCGTTTTGCAAGCATTCATGATAGTTCTAAATTCTCTGCAATATAATATCAACAACATACTGGAAAAGCTTATCGTCACCAACAACGTCGCCACTATTCTTCTAGAAGTCAATTCGTCTATCAACCCTATAGTATATAATGCACTGAGTTCAAACTACAGGAGTGCTTTCAGCATGGCGTTCAAGTGTTCTGAATCGTACAGCTGCTTCTTTGTACCCTGCAAAGAACCTGCGGGTATTAACAAAAGTAATGGTAACGAGCACCACAGCGAAGAGCATGTCGATTTAACGCAATTTACAAAACATCGTGGAGCAGAAAATAGAAGAGGTCATAGAAGGAACTCGGAATGCTGATAATGCAAATGTTGCAAACCTTTAGCATGCAATATGTAATACAAGACTCGTCATGGTAACATTATTATATAATATTATATTCGATTATATGGGAAGGGATTTAATAATTCGTTACTCCACGTGTTCAGCTGATGTAACATTTGCAAATATTAGTGACCCATATATATATACAACGTTGCAACAGTTTGCTAGCTGTTCTGTTGACAAATGGGAATTGTTAGCTTAACCTCTATGGAATACTGGCGCCAGTGTGACAGTGATGTTACGTTAGGTAAAACTATCCTGGAAAAGGTATCTGTTTATATACAAGTAGTATTCGATGGTATAAGGTTGTTGACATATTCAATGACAGCAGGGGTGTTTATTCCTAATGTATCTCAGTGTAGTTAAATACAGCGTTGTATACCGGAATACTCTAATTTATCAGTCGCATTGATTTGTAAGTAGATTCGTTCTGCATATTTTACGAAATTATATAAATATTAATATGTATGGTCATCAAATACGTCAATTAAAATAAAGATGTGTTTTTTTGAAAGAAAATTCAATTATCAAAAAAACACATATTTAATTGACAATTTTAAAATTAAAATGAAATTATGCTCACATATCTATTTTTGAATATCAGAGATCTTATTTATATAAATAATGTAGTTTTACAAAAAAAACCCCATAGCGCCTTGTTAACTTACTTTTCACGACTACATTGGTACACTTCGGTAAATTGTCAGTTGAATAAAGGGTGAATTAATATTTTCTAATACTATATAATAATAATAATACATATTCTGACATTAACGTAATTACGATATTGACTGAATTCCATAATTTCACAGGAGACATCGACAGTATTTCAACTTTCCGAACGAATATTTAACCAATCAATCAAAAAAGTGTTGTTTGATGAAATGTTACATTGACTTTAGAAACGACTATGTATGTGACACTTTAAAAACGGCTTAACTCACGAAGTAATTGGTATGTAAGCGTGAAACGGGTGATAAATGTTGGAAAATAATACATATATTCAATACAGACTCACATGTAAGAAGTAGCAGTACCCTTCACATTCGTGGTTATCGGTGTAACTTAAACACAATACTTATTATAAAGCATAAAGCCCGTCAAAGTCAAAGTAAATCGATACACATGGTCTATACTGACTTGAACTGTGGTATATCATATATCAAATAGTTGTTGCTCACTTTGGTTTCGTTATATTGATAAGTTATTGAGTATCTTTTTGTGAGTTTTCACTATATTTGCTGAGTATTCTTTGAATCGCCGTTTTTATAATACAATAATATCTAGATTACGCCATGATAATCAAGCGACAGTAATATGCTAGGTTATTGCAAATAAATGATGCGTATGTTGTGACTGGCGCCAAAGGAGGCAACAGACAAACAAAATAAGCCTATGTAGCGACAATGTGGCAATTAATATTGACACCTATCTCAAATGCGTCTGTGTCTGGTGTCTACGTGTATTAAGTTATGTTGTGTACGATATTATGATGAGTGAATAAATGACAACGCGATGCCAAAACTTGCGTGATAATGGGACGAAGAGGCGTGAATTGCTCAATGGTGGGTTAGGCGCAATTGATGTTAAGCAAACATCCCAGTCCGAACCCTGTTATCACGTACTAATGGACATACCTTTATTTCAATTATAATACCCTGGAGTATATATAAATTGAATACGCGCCGTAGACGCTTGCATATCAGTTGCAGATCTCAAGTAAACGACGTTCGAATAGGTAAATGTTCTTATAGAAATGACAGAATTTCTTAAACCGAGAAATTAATGATAAGTAATAAGCGATTCATACAAAAGTGGGAAAAACACACACAGAATATTGTTCGTGCATTGCTCTTAGGCACAATCCAGCTATTGTCTGATAACAAGGTTGCACGTGATACAGGCCGACTGATGAATATGCGGCGTTTTAATGATGGACAAGAAACGGTATTATTGTAGCTAATAGTCGCATACATTTTACGTGGGTACTTTTGCAGTACATCCGTGCTAAATTCTCACGATATAACCAGTCACAAATGATCAATCAACATACCGCCAATGACATAATATACCCACACATTGTACAATAGCTAAAACACACTCTCACAACGTACAGAACAAATAATACCGAGTAAATATTAATTTTACGAAACAAATACTCAGTTGGAATGAATGAGCTAATAATACTTACTTTTAAACTATTTTGTCGCGACTGTCGTAAAACATTTACAATATCTATTGATGTAGGGTCTACGGATTATGATAAGTTATATTCTATTAGAATGGGATTTAGTGGTATCATTTTTTATTGGCACAACACATTTTAAACTAGATTAAGAGAGTGGGTGTGGCAAAGCAGGGAGCTTTTGCTTCAAATGGGAATTTTAGGAAATGTATTGTGTTTCTTAATCTCGAACATCATTATCTTGTTTGGCTGAAAACACTAAACATATTTGAAATAAATTGTAATTTCTCATAATCAGAACTTTGTAATGTACCACCAGTTTTGACCAAAACGTTGAATCCAGCGTTTTTTGTATGATGTGCAATTATGATCTCGGTGATGTGAGCCAAATTGAAGCATTGTCAACTAGCTTGGCAATTACCATAACCTATTGCAATCTATATTGAATATTTTAAAACTATGGATCCCTGCTATAACGTTTACACACATTTATTGAATATTTACTTGCAAACAACTCACAAAAGAAACTATATAATAATGATCGGATAGCATATGTCTCGTTCATTTAGTGTGAATGCTTCTTACGACAAAATTATTGCGGCACTGGGAAGTCGATTGACTGAAAAATAAAAGCCCATTTTGACAGGTCGTGATTTGAGTGAAAACATACCTTCAGATCTATTTAACAAAACGTAGCTATATAATATATTATAGTCAAATCAGTGAAAAATTACTAATCTGGGGTATACAACCAATAGTCAGGTTTTTCGAAAAGAAGAAGCATATCCCGCTCCATACGGCATACCTGCCAAATATTTTTTTGAGCAATAAATGGTTCAAGGCACTACTTTATTGTTTAGAATTCTCAACGGTTTGATTTACATGTAGAAATTATAGTAAAAAGGTCATGGACAGGACAACGACAAGAGCAGATGGACATCATTATAATATGATTGGTTATCGGCTATAATACGGATGTGTTTGAATTGTGTTTAGAGGACTATGGTCGACAAAACCAGCAGGAATGATGATGATGGTGTTGATGATTGATGAATTAACGAGTGACAGTGCTTTAGTGCGATCATGTATCTACTTTTATATATACGTATAAGTGTTGTTAATTAAAGACGATCGGATGTTGCATAGCGGTAAATGAAAAGACAGGAGATTGTCATTGTAAGTAAAACATGTGGATATAAGTGTACAGCTTATGTGGGTTCAGGTTGAAAACATCTATCGTCGTACTATTTGTGTAAAAGGACACAAAAGTAGAAAAGAAAGAAGAATGCGAGGAAGAATCTGACGATGACATGAGATTTGGTATTTTCATGCTGTTCTCATGGGACACCTCGGCCTTAAAGGTTCTCATTTTAATATTTGTTACTACAACAAAGATCTGCACCTGCGCCGGTTCTACGCATAAACAGTATTCCATTCTTTATACATGATTGAGATACGTAATTTTCCTCCGCTGTTCAATCTATGTATTCATGTATTTTGAATGTATGCAGTTATAAATTAATGATTCTATAGTATATAACATCAGTACGTGACTATAGCAACCTCCATTCTGTGACTGGCACAAGTAGGTCACAGAAATATACATTAACAATAAATATATTGTTACTATGACACAATCATTAACCAAAAAATAATCAAGTCAGCACTATAACCTATAAAACACTCCTATCAATGCCATGACATTTTAACTTAAATCTAAACATATATACCGTTACTAGGTTGGTAATATCTAACAATTGGATGTCTGTCTAGTCAGCGGTTCAATCACACTCCAATCCAGCAACAACTATGCTAGGTTGCAAAATTACTCTGTTGCAACTACAAATCTTATCAATCCACAAGGTACTATATCTTAATATTCGATAGAAACCCACTCTGAAATATTATTATTATTATCTTTAACTCTAAACAGTAATAAAGTAAAATCTGCCTAATTAAACTCAACACAACACGGATATATCAGGGCCACATCAAATCTAACATATCTTATGTTCACGAGTGTCAATGCAGCCTACAATACAGTTCTCTAATGGATGATGTCTCTATAACACATCACTCATCATGCAGGTCGGGTTTTGTAGAACCATCAATTATTGGTAGTTTAATGTGTGTTTTTTTCAGATGAAATATCACATACTTTGGCAAACATAATGTCAACATGATGCTTAAAATGTTCAAAAATTTTGGCAATTGAAAATATTGACACGAGTCTTCATTTGAGTAGAATGTGTTGGCATGATGTCAGGTTAGTAACATCACCTTTCAAATTCATACACGATCTGATTATCATAGTAGCGACAATATTAATAAATTAATAATAATACTCATATCAATAATGAGAACAAATTGAAAGGTTGACCCATCAATAACATAACAATGTCTGCACAATGTTATTTCAGAAAAACAAGTTAATACATTATGACGACGACACTTGAAAATCATGCATACAAAGAAAGACTTATTATGTTTAGAATCACATTGCAAAAACTCACTTATTATTAAAAAGACGTCTAATGTTTCGTTTGTCAGCCTCAAATATTTTATTCAGATGTTGAACCAATTCTTCTTCTTAACCAAGACAATGTGATTGCAAAAGACTGTACAATTCTCTGATGACATCACTGTAAATCATTACTTCATTCAACAGATGGATCTCATCATACCAATGTGAAGTAAGTATGCATTGATGTATCTGTGTTTTCCCATTATACACTTACCCAAGTTAATAGGACTATAGCAAATGTTCACAGGTTGTATTAAAACATATATA